GAGCCGCTATTTTTTTTATGGTTGTAGTTGTCACTGTTGTTTAACAGTCCTGGGCCAAGTTCGAACCTGCATGGGGCTGGCGCCCTAACCACTGAGCAATAGGCACCAAGCCACCCCTTATGGGTTTTTTTTTCCTGCAGTTTTTCGACGGGGCTGGGTTTGAACCTGCCACTCTGGTATATGGGGGTGGCACTCTACTCCTTAGAGCCGCCCCCCCCTTATGGTTTTTTAATTAAACTTTTTCTCTAGTTTACTTTATTATAGGAATATAGCACATAATACACGTAATACAAAAAATAAGTGTTAATCAGCTCTTTATGTTACAGCAAGTATTCTGGTCTTCTGGTCAATAAAAAGCTATTAGTAGTTAATTTTTAGGGGAATAAAAAGTTGTATGAGGATTTTCAACTGTGTGTGGGGTCACTGCCCCTAATACTCATGTTGTTCAAGAACGAACTGTATATTTTCCTATTTTTTGCAATTTTCATTTTAACTTTTACATGAATAATAAAATGTTTAGAAACTTAGTATTTATGGGGAAATAACAAAATAAATGGATGAGTAACCATTGGGGAAAGAGTTAGAATCCTGACTAATTTCACACAGATTAAAAAACCACAGAAACATCTAAGAATTTACATCTAAATGAATTTAATACATAATTCATCATTTCCCTAGTAATAGATGCTAACTTTACCATATAGTAAATCCTAAATGTATTTTCTTGTTAAACTTTAGATTTTACTATAACAAAAGTTCATGTGTCAGAAAACGCCACAGACAAATTTAAAAGGCAAATGATGACTTGGAAAAAATGTCTGTGATACATATGACAGAGTTAATATTCTTTTTTTTTTTTGCAGTTTTTGGCAGGGGCTAGGTTTGAACCTGCCACCTCCAGCATATAGGACTGGTACCTTACTCCTTTGAGCCACAGGTGCCACCCAGAGTTAATATTCTTAATATATAAAGTATATCAGAAATTAACAAGAACAAGACACAACTCAGTAGGATAATGGCAAAGGACTCAAGTAAACAATTCACAAACAGCCAATGAACATATCTTCAGGTATTCATTCTCAATACAATCACAGAAATCAAATGAGAAAAACAATAACGTTACTTGTTCATCATACTGACAAAGTATTTTTAAAGGCTCATTATCCAATTTCGGCAAGGCTTGACACTTTTTTGGTAAGTTTATGGTAGATTTGAGGAAAAGGAAGGAAAGGAAAGGAATTGTGAATGGCTAAGGACATGCAGCATTTGCTGGACATCAAGGAGGGCTTTGCTGATGCTGGACACAGTGAATTTGAGTAACTCGCGTCTGAACAGTTATATAATTTTCTTTTTTTTTGATCTTTTTTATTAAACCAGAGCTGTGTACATTAATGCAATCATGGGGTACAGTGTGGTGTTTTCATATACATTTTGAAATACTCTCATCAAACTGGTTAACGTGGGCTTCATGTCGGTTATATAATTTTCATTAGCAGTGCTCAACAGTCATAGCACACGTAGGAGAAATTCATAAATTGTACTGATCTAAGGTGGTTCTGCAAAGTGAGTGTGGTAAAATGACAAAGGTGCAAAAGATTTAAAGGTAATGGCACAACAGTGACAGAATACAGGCCACCAGCAAATGAACTAAACCTGCCATTCATGTAACTAGTATTTACTGCGCTCTCCACGAGCTAACATGTCAGAAAATTAATTGTTTTTGTAGATTGATATTTTCAACAACTACCTTACTAAAACTCATTTTCTGGTCCTTTAGCTTTTTAATTGATTCTACTGGGGTTTTGGAGTACATAATCGTAGCATCTGTAAATAATGTCTCCTCCACTGACAAATATTTAAGTCTTTACCTGGGTCTATTTACCATAGGTCTTATTGAAAAGTATTGGTGAGCCCTCTTGTTCTTCACTTAAACAGTGATAGACTACTAGTGCTTCTATGTGAATTATGATGTTGGCTGTTCAGTTTTATTTGTCTTCATATGGTTACATAATAAGTATTCTTCACTCATTTACTTAGATTTTTCCTGCCACAATTTGATCAAAGATGAGAATCTAAAATGTAATATATTTTATATACTCATTTAATATATTTCCTAATACTGAAACATTCTTGTATGAATGGAATAAACCATGCTTTTAGTTTTAACATAATGCTGGGTTTGACCTGTGGTACACTTTTTAAAACTTAAAAGGGGGCAGATTTGTCATTTTCACTATTGTACTATCTTTAAAAGGGTTTTATGTCACTATTATACCACCTAAAGGGAATCTATATTTTTCTGTGTTCTGGAGAATCATCTGCTCTTTGTAGGAATGAAGGAAACTCTCTACATAATCATATCTAGGCCCAGCAACAAGTTCTTAATAGTTATGCTCCCCTCTCTAGGTATATTTGTGTTTCCACTTCTTTTTGACTCATTTCTTATCAATCTATATTGCTTTAAAAATCACTTTTTATTCAGAAGTTTAGATTTTAGCACAGAACTGCCTATTGTATTTTCTAAGAAGTTTTAATTTTCATTTGTAGATTGTTTCTAATTTCTGATACTATAATTTTAAATGTTACTTTTCCTTGACTAAACTCGCTAGAAATTCGTCAATTCTGTTAATGTTTTCAACAAGTAATTATTTTTTTTGGTATTCTAAATTAACACAGAAATTTAATTTTATCCTTCCTATTTATCATAGTTCATTTTATTGCTTTCAGATGTCTTAATATGAAGCCTAGTACATTTCATTTTCACTCTTGAGTCCTGCAGGTTTTCCATTTGGTACAACTTTGGGTAAGTGCTTATCCATGTGCTTTCCACATACTGCAGTCTGGCTCCTAGCCTCACCACAAGACTAAAATTGTTCAGTGAGGTCATCAATCATCCACATACTGCCAAAAATAACAAACCGGCTGCCTGAAGTCTTCACGCAGCACCTGTCAGTATTCACTACACCCTCTCTCTTAAAACTGCCTGACTGGCTTTTCCGGTAAAAGTTTTCTCCTGCCTCCTTGGCTGTCTTCTCTCAATCTCGCACTATTGACTTTTCTATTCTCTGAAATGTTAGTGTTTCCCAAGACTATGTGTCTTGGTAGTTCTACTCTAAAAAAATTAATTCCTAAAATAAATCAATCAATCAACAAAAAAACCCTGATTCCTGATTCCTAGTACTCTCATCCAAACCCATGAATTCTACTGTCTTACATGTAGAACTCTCTAAATCCAAGTGTCCTGCTCCCTACTACATTAGACCAATTCCAGATATGCCATAGGTACCTCAAACTTAAGACAATAGCATCCTCTCTATTTCCCAAGTTCTACCCTTTTTCTGTACTCCAGGTATTTGTGATTAGCTTAGAAATTATTCTAGAGTCCTCCCTCTCACCCACATTTAATTAGTTACCAAACTTTGAAGATTTTATCTTTACCCCAATAAAGCCATCCTTTCATAGCTATTCCTAGAGTCTCCTCCTTAGATCATATATTTTCATAAAAACAACTGAAATGCTCCTTTAATTTTCCTATCTCCAACCTGGCCTCCCCTCATATATAACATATACCATTTTCCAAGTGAATTTTTGATAAATGAAAAAGGTGTTTATTGGTGACTCATAGCTTGTACGACAACATACTCTTATTTCATTCTTCTACTTAGGATGACCTCTCTCCATCTCCTTCCTTACCTATCTAAATTCCATATGTCCTTCAAAGTTCAACTCTATTTCACCCTTGGGGGAAAGCTCCCCTCTGTAAGAGTGTATGCAGATTGCTAAGTACACTCTTTCTCTGGCACTAACACAGCACCCTAGGCACATGTCTTTCATAAAACATGGGATTAAACAGTAATCGCTTACTTATTTGACCATTTTCCACCTAAAGAGAAGCTACCTGAGGCCAACAGACTCTCCATCCCTGTATTCTCATCAGCTAGCATGTATCTGTTCACGTACAATGTTTGTACCATGTATGATTCTAAAAGAATTCTGTTCCAATAAGTACTTGTATACACAAACATAAAAGTTAGTAGACTGGAAGTACAACCAGAAATATGTAGGCCAGAAAAAATACAGGATAGATACTTTTGTTCCACAAACTCATGTTGCTTTTCCAAAAGAATGTGAGTTGTGCACAGGGTCAGGAAGTTCCTATAGCTTCCTATCAAAGCTTCTCTGAGCTTGGGCAAGTGAAGATTATCCAGTTAACTGTGGACTGAAGTGCTACTGATTATTTTATACTATATTACAAAACCTATGCTGTACACAGGTAGCCTTTCAGATGAAGTACTATAGTATAATTTAAAAAGCCAGCATAGTGATTGTGACAAATTCTCAAAAATTCTGCATCCTTAATAACAAAACAAAAATAAAAAGGGATGTGATCAATGTAAACACATTCCTTAAAGTTCTGCCATAACACACTGCTCGATTTAAAATACTAGCTCTTATAAGACTCTTTTAAGTTTCTGTGTTTGTTTGTTGTGGAGTGTTTATTCTTGTTTGTTTATAAATAAGTATACTATATAACTCAAAGGAGCATAAATTTCCTAAGGACAAAGCTGTAAATAACATCAGCAGTAAAAATACAAGCTATTTGGAAAAACAAGCTATTTAGAGTTCCAGTTTTCTAATCTGTATGTTATCTTCACCCTAACGATAGTAGTCTGCTTTAGTATATACTTCTGGTTACAGAAAAATAATAGTGAAATTTGGGCTTGAGATTCTATATCCAATTACGACTCAACATTACACTGTTTCAGAAATACAGATTACATACTTACGTCCAAGAAGTCATCTCTAAACGAAGTGTGTTGTTCACAGAAAGAACTCAAAAGAACATAGTGTGTAATGGGGAAAAAAAATAATCAACTGACCTAAAAACATTAAAACCACATCCTCAAATATGAAAGATTCTCATTCACATAGTTTAAAAATGGTACTTTTTAAACATACCTTGTCCATTAATTTACTTGTATGAAGACTCAAGCCACTGAAGAATATTTTTTTGCTTAGCAGATGCATTTCTTCGACAGTGGTCAACAATGTGGTTGCACTATTTCCAACAATTCCACTAAAAGCAAAGAATATTTCAGATTGCGAAACAGAAGCTGAAAATGATTCCATTCTTTAACTGAGTACAATGCTTTCAGAAGATCTAGATTTAAATGTTTTAACATGTTTTGTTTGTTTTTGGCCGGGGCTGGGTTTGAACCTGCCACCTCCAGCATATGGGGCCGGCGCCCTACTCCAGGAGTCGCCCTAGACTTAAATGTTTTTATGTAGAACATAACCTGTGAATTAAAAATAATTGCTCTAGGGGCGGCGCCAGAATTTTTTTTTCTTTTGATTTAGGTGATAAAAAAATTAAAGTAAAGTACTATGATTTAATATTTCAAATCCCTTTTAACAAAATTGTAGGTTAGAACACTGTTGTATGTTAAGCTATATGTCTATTTTTCCTCTATTATAGTAAATGTATGTCTTGCTTATCCAAGAATATCTAATTTTAATTTTAAGAAAAGCATTCCATCAATATTGCTAAAATATTTAAATTGTATAAATACTGAGTTCTTTAAGGTAGCATTTATACTACTGCAATAACACACCTACAAACTATAAAGTTTCTCATTTCAATACAACTGCCTAATTAGCAGTATAGAATAACTATGAAATGTCGAATAATTTAAGATAATTGATTATATTAGCACATTCCATAATTTTCAATTTACTATTACTATACCAAGATGTTTCTTAGACTGCTTCAAGGGGTTTGCCATTTTTGCCAAGATCTAAGATAAATATATATATAAAACAATTTCCAATTTTGTTATCTTAATTCATATACTGAACGTAATTTTTCAATTTTTGGGGGAGAAAAGATTTTTGTGGATGTGAAAATATGCCTTAATCCAGCAGGAAATCATAATTTGTAAAGGCACAATAACACTTTACTATGCTTATAAAATTTTAGATTGCTAAAGATAAAAGTAATGATATCAATTAATACTGACAGTAAGCTAAAGCACAGTAAATGTCCTTATAAATGAAATACCACGTAGGATATGTTATAAAAGCAAATAAGACTACTATACATTTCAGCTCCTTCTTCAGCTAAAATAAATTGGATGAATTCTTACATAGTTCACAAAAACAAAGTATAAGCAAAAAAAAAATGAATAAAGCAAATAGTAAAAAATAAAATAGTCAAATTACTTAGCAGGTGGCTGTAATACCTGTATTTCGAAGAAACATATTTTATTTATTTATTTTTATTAAGTCATATATACATAGGTCATGAACACATTTATGCCTTTGTGGGATTCAATGCGTTGATTATTTGTATAAATTGGAGTGCTTACATCCTACTAATTAACATAGCTTTCACCTCATTTACTTAATCACGGTGTTAAGACATTTGTGTTCAATACTTGATAGATCTGACTTGTACCCTTGCAATATGCTCCATAGAAACAATATTTTAGTTGAAGATATTATAAAGCAAACATCAAAATAAATTGGAAGGAATTGTTACACATGCTTATGCATGCAATAAATAAAAACAAGTACTCCTTGGAATAGAAGTATACATAAAGCAACAGTTGGTAATAAACTAAATGAATCCAAACAGAAACTGATAACTTAATGAAAAATTAGAGTGCGATCAAGACATATTTATATTATTTTTTTAATTTGGAGTTTTCTATATTTTGCAGTTACGCGGGTGTAGAAAAGACGAGTAGTTACTGAGCATTCACTAGGTACCAGAAACTGGCCCAGACACTTGCAGACGCTTCTTCTCACATTTCATTCCACATTTCAACCCAGCGTGCTTATGCTCCCATTACTTGACTTTTAAGGTTTAGGTAGTTATACTCAATTTCCCTAGTCTCCTTCCCTACCACAATACACCCAAACCACCTTCCCCAGCTTCCTAATACAATTGGGATCACAGGGTTCGGGTAAATGACCACTCAGTGTTTACATGTGTGTAAACACTATTCAGAGGCAACTAAAGGATCAGGGATGACTAAAACAAGGAATGAGCAGCCTAGTGGTCAAGAGAAACTCCAGTGTGACAGCCACACAGCACACAGCAGGCCTGGAGAACAACCCATCTAGACTGGAGGAAACGGGGGCTCCAAGAAAAATATCACAAGGGGGCAGGAGAAGGATCACCTGAGGTGTATGGCTACATGGTAACACAAGGTACATAATAGCTTGATCTGAAATAGGGCTAAGGGGATAGGGAAGCAAGCCAGTACAAGAGCAAAACAATTATTAACTCCAGGGAGAAAAGTGTTATGGAAAAGAAATGTCCAAGTATGCTTGATTTCCTATTTCCTGGATTCCCTATCTATCGTCCCTTTTTCTTTTAGGAGTTTTAAAGTATAGGAGGTAAATTTTGTGAGATCTTGCATGTTTCTTGTTTTTATCCCCCCAATCACCGGCTATTCCTTCACAGTTTTGTCATTTCTCCTTGTTTTGACCTCTAAATATTGCAGCTCTCCAGGAACTCAGTCTTTAACCTACACTCACTCCTTAAGTGATCTTACCTAGTCCCCTTGCTTCCAAAATACCAAAGACATAGTTTATCTCTGATTCCTCTCTGCATTATCTGCTCAGTCAAAATCTCCTGATGTTCATAGGTACCTCAAGTGTGACACGGCCAGAGCACAACTGAGCTCTTCACTACCCACCAGCCCCCATCAATCTGCTGCTCTTCAGCCTCCCATCTCAGCAAACCCCACCATTCACCCAGCTGTTCAAACCAAAAGCCAAGAATTCATCACTGACTCCTCACATCTCACTCCATTTAAGTCAATTTTTATATTCTATTCACTGTAACATAAATCACCTCCAAGACTATCACCCTAGTCTAACTCATCATCTCTCCCTTTCTGATTTCATCTCCCTCTACTCCCTCAAATACACTGCCCTCCAACCACTGGTCTTCCCTATGGTTCTCTAAAATGCAAGCTTTTCCTAGCTTTGGGACCAGCATATTATCTCTGCTTGGGACACTTTTCTCCAAGATCCTTTCATGGCCAACTCCTTCACATTATTCAGGTCTCTGGTCAGGTATCCCCTCTAGTGAAAGGCCTACTACATAGACCTACTTACACATGGCAACTCCCAGTACTATTTCCTGAATCTTCAGTCCGTTATCACCTTCTAAACTTACTTTATACTAGCTTAATAGTTTGTCACTCCTACTAGAATTTAGGTTTAAGCTGTTTTGCTTGCTGCTGTTTCTTTAGTACCTAGAAGAATAACAGATATATACTTGACCTTTTTTTTTTTTTTAAAGAGACACAGTCTCACTTTATCACCCTTGGTAGAGTGCCGTGGCATCACAGCTCACAGCAACCTCCAGCTCCTGGACTTAGGTGATTCTTTCGCCTCAGCCTCCAGAGTAGCTGGGACTACAGGCACCCGCCACAGTGCCCAGCTATTTTTTGTTGCAGTTTGGCTGGGCTGGGTTTGAACCCACCAACATTGGCATATGGGGCCAGCACCCTACCCACTGAGCCACAGGCACCACCCTATACTTAGCTTTTTAATTGACTAAGTGAGCAAATGTGTGAACAAGCAGAAAAAGTACATGCAAAAAAAAGTATCAAAACATATCATCAATACCATCTTTAAAAATAGAAAACTTATAATTACCAGACCACAAAAACTGTTATCTTCAGCATCTAAATGATTTTGTCTATAGAATTTTCCTACATTAGAAACCAAGTTATTATTTTTAAATAGTAAAATTTAATGAGTATCATCATGGTCATTACCAAATAATTTAAAAAATTATTTTATCAGCATCTTTTTATAACACAGCACTTGCTACTCTCAGCTGCTCTTGTGTTTCCTACATATGCATTATTATCTTCTTGTAGGAAACCTGAAGTTTTAAACCTTTCAGTTTTAGTACAACTGAAACTAATTTATTGCTTTTGAGTCTTCGGGAATAATGATAGCAACTTTTATATCTAAAAATTAGGAGACTAATACAAATCCTATCTCTGTTCGGTTTTGTAGCCTGGGGCTTCTTAGTTTTGTTTAAAAATCTACCAGTAGCATAGGAAACCCCTTTTCTCTGCTGTGAAATCCAGAGTGGCTACTCTCAGACACTAAAGGGTAGGCAATAACCTAACCATAGTCTTTTTGGTGCTATGTGAACTAGAGATTCCTCAGATCTAGATGTGAACAGCTGGCCTTCTGTTCCTAATACCAGCACACTGGATAACAAGTAATTTTTAAATATTTTTTAAATGGAACACATGGAAACTATCAAAAATTTAACTTCAAAGGACACTGTTTTAACACAACTATACATATAAATAGTCTTAAAGCGACAGTTTTAACTATATACACCATCAACAGCTATGAGCAAAGCACAAATAAATACAAATTCTGTAATCAAAATTTAAATAAGACATTTTAGATAGCACAAGTGGGGTTCCTGATCAGATAAAGCTGCTTTTATATATAAGAGAAGATAAAACTATAGTCCAATTATATCACTTATAGTAAACAAAATGTTAAAAAAGAATTTAGGTTATTTACATTCAAAATAGAATATTTCACTCAATATGCCCTCTTGTAAGTCAAATGGATAGGTCACTACGAAAGTTCTGAGACAGATTGGATTACGATTCATTATTTCACTTCCAAGAAACACATTTGACAGTGTCCTTTCTGATTCACTTGTGCCAACCTCCAACTTGCTCGGCTTATCAGTGTTGCTGGGAGGGCTTCATTTGTTTCTGTTGGTGAGGATTTTACACTTCTTGATTCTTGTGTATCTCAAACTTTTCATAATGATTCATGTATACAATTGCTTGAGTTGCCATGGATCTCTCTTACTAATGCAGGAAGACTCAGTAACACTTACAATAGACTTATATTGTATAGCCTGTGTATGTGTATGTGTTGTGTGTGTCTGTTTGTGCAGTTCAGCTTGGAGAAAAAAAGGAAAAGGAAGTGATACACCTCCAAGTACAGCACATATAATATGCATATCATGATTCACGTAGTATGGAGATTCTACTACTTGTACTTAGTCTGTACTTAGTACACACAGTGAAAACAAACTGAAAAATCTTACACTGCTCTCTGACTGAAAAAGAATACCATAAGGGATATAACAAGCACATTTCACCATTCCACTTACCTGACTGTATGGTGATAAAATTTGAGAAGATTAGAAATTTTATATAATAAAACTGCTCCAGGTTCAGCAACTATTACTTGTTCAATTCGAACCTATTAAAACATGTGAGAAGAAATTAACCTTTTACAGAAGTATAACTTTTCTTCATCAATGATACATGGTATAAACTGCATAAAAAGGTGGTGCCCATAGCTCAGGGGTTAGGGTGCCGGCCACATACACCAAGGCTGGAGGGTTCAAATGCAGCCCAGGCCAAAACAACAACGACAACTGCAACAACAACAACAACAACAACAAAAAGCCAGGAGTTGTGGTGGGTGCCTATAGTCCCAGATACTTGGGAAGCTGAGGCAAGAGAATCGCTTAAACTCAAGAGTGAGGTTGCTGTGAGCTGTGACACCACAGCACTCTACCCAGGGCGACAACTTGAGCCTCTGTCTCAAAAAATAAATAAATAAATAATAAACATAAAATAAAAAGCATAAAAATTTAAAGCTACACCTTTATTATTGCAGAGAACACCAAAGACCTTCCAGACAAAGAATTTCTGAGTAGTAAGTCATAGGGGTGGTAAAGTAGCAAACACTTTATCTCGGATATACTCTACAAAAAATGATCCATTGTTTGCAAAATTTGGCTCAAGGAAGTTGTTATCAGAAATATCAATACAATGAGATCATTTTGAGGTTTAGCACCAGCATACAATGAAATTACTTCAATACCAAATCACAAAAGCAGCTGCTCCATGTCTCAAAGCAAGTTACTGATGAACATATGTTGCAAATATTCAGAAAAAAATTAAAGGATTCTTGTCTTTAATGTACCAAGTTTCTCTATTAATCAAAGAATAGGAAAGCAGACAAATCTTAAATTACCACCAACATACATATTTGCCCAATTGTTAGACTACTAGGGCAAAATCTTATCTAGTTGATCTGCCTCAAGATTAGCCAATACAAACCTTTTCTAATTAAATTTAATCCCTCACCAATCTTTCTTACATTATATCCCCTCATTAATGAATCCAAACTAAACCACACAGACATATACTTACTTACAAATTGCATTATATCTGCTCTTAAGCTCCTACTTACATTGTATCGTTTTGCTTTCCTAACTAGTTTCTTTTTTTTTTT